ACAAAAATATTCACCAAAAAATAAATATTTCTTTGTCAGCTTCAATAATAACAGGGTGTTAAGTTTAGATTATAAAACAAAGGATTATGTTGACAGAAATACCGGAGGTCAAGTAAATTCGTTATATAAGGTCACACAACTCGGGTAATATTCACGGTGAAAATTTGCATATTTGAGCGGTCGAACGAAAAAAAAAATTCTCGAAAACTAAAATATATTTTCGCAAAAAATTTTGCTATCCCACCCCTCCCTCTTCGGGAAAGGAGAGCATTTTCTTAGGTGCCAGTCCCTTTCTCGAATAAATGACATTTGGACATGAACCAATAACAGTACAGATCCGTTGGAAGTGAATAAATTCGATTGGGTAGGAATAATTCAGCCAATCATAAGAGGAACTTGCGGTAAATGTACAGATTTTAAAAGTACAAAGTGCTCCCCGTCCATCGTGTGTTCGCGTTTTCAAGGGATTCCTTTTGCTGACTGATCTTCCGAAAAGTTCCATTTTCCTTAAAGAAACATGTCAGAAAACCGTCTTCGAAACTTCAAGAACAAAGGAAAGGATACTGGTGTAAGTTTGCTGATAATATTGTTGACGAATCGAATTTTTTTTGGCAGTTGTGAAAGTGACAAAACGCGAAGCTAATCGAGCTCAATCGAATATGGGATAATTTAGGATAATTTGAACAGAGGTATGGTGTATGCTTTTGTGGTTATTCATGTATTATTCCCAATAATGCAGCCTACTGACCTATCTGTTCTATTGGAGTGGGGAAATTGGTGCAATATTCAGTTGATTGCTATGGGGACGGCTGAAATGTACTTGAATCCTTTCAAATCCACGATCCACACAGCGTTAAATGATTCGCTATCTCTCTTTAGTGCAGATGTCCACAAGCTTGTATTTTATGTGCTTAACATCAGTGGACTGATGAAACTCAAGTTTCAGGGGTTTTTATTACAAGTATAAAAGCTTATGGAGAGAGTGTTCTGGAAATTGAAAAATCGACATGGTGTCTCAATTTCGTTTAAAGAAAACTTGGAACTACTGTACAGTACATTGCCAATCTCAAGCTCGTGGAAGCTTTCTCAACGTACTTCTGATTCGCCCCTCAAATTCGCGTTTCGCTTGTGGCATTAGCAGCCTTATTTGATCGTCATGTACTCGAGAATAACTTTAAGACGGGCTCATAAACAACTTGTAGTTTTCCGTGTCTCGAAGCCTTCGACATCAAGCGCCTGCTAACTTTGTGAAATAAATGTTAAAATAGATCTTAATAAGCCGAACCGGAATAATACTTCATTTATAAACCTGGGTATGGTGGTTTGTTTCATGTAGAAGTCATCAATTTACGACCAGAGTATCTCTAAGAGACTCCCTAGTTTTCCTAGTTCTTAGTGACCATTCGTTTACGCTTGGATCATGCACAGCAATCAGGGCAGTCGTATTCAATACATCGTAACCTAATATCTGACGGTTGGTTTGCAGGAACTACGACGTAGGCGTACTGATGTTACGATTGAGTTACGGAAGGTAACCAGTTCCTTTTTCCAGACCTGGGAATTTATAATTATGATGCATATCTTTAACTGCATTAAATGTTGTAGAGGAGAGGGACTTAGTTTACGATCTCTTATAGCATAGATCAATCTTTTACTATGCTGCATTGGAGCTGTATTATTTCTGTCAATGTGATTGCATTCATTTACTGCCTGACATCCTGAAATTCAGTTAATTTGACAAAGGGCCAATATTCTAAACTTGAAGCTTTAAAAACTCTTTACGGTGGCAATTTTCTTTATAATTTCACTTGATAAAACCAAATTATCTCTAAAACCCCCTAGCGACACAGCATCACCGTTTCTCCAGAAACTTTTCCCCCTATTTATCTTGAGGTTCAGACCACTGGGTTGGGTGGTAAACTGGTCAGTCTTTTTCTCAAGATATTGCCAAGTGCCAGTTCACCATTTAAAACAAAAAGATTGAAATAAGTAGCTGTTGTTAATATTTCTCAGAGTAAGAGGGATGACCAGATTCTTAAAAGACGCAACATCTCTCAAGGTCAAAGTGACAGTCCATTGAAAGAAAGTAATGGTCAGCAGGTGTGAAGTTTTGTATTCATTTAAGTACTTTTTACATCCAAAAGCTATTTTAAAATTACTTATGCAGCAATTGTGTAGAAAGAAAAAAATTGCAGTTTTAAAAGCTTTTGGATTGTTGTTAATCTAAAAAAGTTTGCTCTAACAGAGCAAATCCACCAAAATAATATGCCATAAGAATTTACTCCTTCTTTTATCAGGTGGAAAACTCTGCAACTGATTTAATGGTTAATGCATGAAATATTATTTATTTTCTAGCTCAGCCAATATATCCAATTTATGAATGGCCTACCATGCAGTAACCCTCTATGTAACTTTAAACTGTAGAAAATTTGACATCATTATATTACTTTCTGAGTTGGTAATTAATTAATTTAATTAATTTAATTTAACATAATTTATATAGTGCTAACTCCACTAATTGACCAAAGCGCTTGGTACTATGCCACTGTGCTAGAGAATCGCAAAAATAGTGATGATAGGGTTGTTAGTCATCTGGAACTGTTATTGTTAGTGAGATTAAGAACTGGTTTAAATTTTGGGGTTTTTTTTTTGTTTTGTTTTTGCCTTCTTTTCACTGATCCACTATGCTTATTATATCTATAGATCTAAGTTTATAAGAATTTCAAGTCTTTGTTGCCTTCTGTCATTTACCGGTAATTTGCCTGTTCTATGCATGGTTACATCAATTCTAGATAGTTGTGTTTCCTTGGGTCGCCTACATAGTTTCCTATCTGCATTTGAAATGATTCAAAGTAGATTAAATGACATTTGCATAAGTAAAACAAAAATTATCAAGCAACAGCCACTATATATTTTTACATCAACAGACTTGTACTCATCTGCCGCTTTCCACCATTACAGAGGTATGTATGTTATCAGAAATGGCTTAAAAAGGGGTTAATCAGAGTTGCTTAGATCCCACTAATGCGAAAGCTCATCTAGTGAACCATTTCACTCCAAAAAGCAACCAATACATAATTTTTCCTCAACGGCTCTGTAATTACAAGTTTTCAGGCATTAAGAATTGATAGTTGCTTTTAGTCAGACTCCAAAAATAGTCTCTTGTTTCTTGACACTATTCCTGTGCAATTACATTTTTTCAACAAAACCATGGTGAACAGAGGTGCATATACTGTAAGCCTCATCATATCCTACCTCTATATATAGAAGACCACAGGTGACTTCAGTTTTAAAATCATTCTTACAGTTGTTTGGAGTTTTTTTCAGCTTTCTTACCCTCAACTTCAGTTCAGTTACATGGTATCTGTAAAACTAAGACAAATTGAAAATTGTATTATATAACTCAAAGTGATTTTGTTTCAGTATCTCCACTCAAATGAGGATAAAGCCATATTTGAAGCTGCTCAAATCTCCAGGTGATGAAACTTTTAAAGTTTCCTAAGTGTGGTTGCCTTGCATTTTTGTTTGTGAATTAGCTTCTGGACAATCTCTTTATTATCATGATCTATATCAACTGTTGAAACTGGGAGCCAGTTGTATCCCCATTGCATTTACTTCTTACCTCTCAACTGAAGGAAAACTCTTATTTTATTGATTATTATGCTTGTTGTTTCTTTTGTTCAGGAAGATGCTATCAAAACACAAAAACCCTCCAATCAAAGATTTCATTGAGTAAGTTGTAATTAAAGAGTAGATATAAAAGAGTAGATAATAGCAAGAAACAGTAGCAAACATCTTGATGTTTTTATCATGTGGAAGTCATGTGCCTTGTTCAAGGGTGTAGTGTTCTCTTGTGGTCCTGAGGCCACCTTCACCACTGTAGACTCTCTCAATAGCAAACTGATTTGATTACCTTGTATGAACATATTGTTTTTCAATCTGTTTTAAACTCGCACCATATTTATTTCTCTACAGTGGCCTTAATATGGTACAATTAATAATGTGATTAACATAGGGAAGCCCTTTTTCAATTGTAGTGCACTATCGTTTCCATTACTTGACCAGTAGTGTTTATTTATAGCCATATTATTTTGTTTCAGCTCTGGACTAATCCCAAAATTTGTGACTCTCTTGGAGAGATTTGACAAGTATGTTGACAAGCTTAAATGGATAATTAGTTGTGCTACCCATCCTCTTTTAAGGAAGTTTTTTTTTGCTTTTTTCTTTCTTTTTCTTTTTCCTTTTTTTTTTCTTTTTTTTTTTTGAGAGAGATGCTATCAATAAGGATTAGGCAGGAATTGTATGAGGATTTTTTTTTTCAATGTATGTTTTCCTGTAGTCCTTCCATTCAATTTGAAGCTGCTTGGGTGCTCACAAACATTGCTTCAGGCTCCTCTGATGAGACAAAAGTTGTGGTGGAATCAGGTTGGTCACCTTTTTCTGTTTCATCATTTAACTAATTGCTGCTAGTTGCAAAATGTGAGGCAAATTTCTATTGTAATCCTTGAGATGGAGCCAAAGGGATTACCAGACAAACACTGATCATTGAGAGTGAGAAGAGTAACTGTCTTTAGGAACAATCTGAATCATGAATCCGTACTAAGCAGAAAAACTAAAAAAAAGATTCTTAGTTTGGATGACAGTGATGATAGCAGGTATTAATAATGCTGACAGACAATTTTTTTTCCTCTTAAAGGATTGGTGAGGCAATTATTGACAGAATTTAAAATATTGTAGAGTGCTTTGGTGTTAATAATGTTGAGGGTGGTTGTATGAAGGTAAAACTTGACTAATCAAAGAGATGGGGTCTTTTTAAACACTTTTTAAATAATTTTTAAATACCAGTTTTAAGTTGGAGACAATTCAAGTAGTGCTATAACTTCATTTGAGCACGATTTATACCACATGATTTGCTACACTTGACTATTTATCCCATAAACTGTTTAACTTTGATCAATGAAGATACAAATAATGCTTCTAACTTAAAAGTTCATTAATACCTTAATTTTTTTTTCTCATCTGAAGGTGCTGTACCCAGATTTGTCAGGCTACTGTCATCACCTGAGTCTCAAGTTCAAGAACAGGCTGTGTGGGCTCTGGGAAATATAGCAGGTATTGTCAATCAATCCTGTGCAGCTAAATATACAGTACCTCCTTGTGTTCTATAACACATGGAAAGTGAGTTACTCATAGATAGACTTTCAGTGAGAAAATGTATAGAAGAATGATATTATATCCAGAGTAACAAGCTTTACCTACCTGTGTAACCAGGTGCAGTTCTTAAACTTGGTACTAAACATGGATTCAGAGTTTTGTGGTTGGTTCTGGTCCTTGCTTCAAGTCTTTTTCTCCAAGTTCTCTGGTTCTCCTCTTTCCATAAAAACATTATTTTAAACTTTAGTTTGACCTTGATCCATTAAAAATCAAACTCAGAAAACATAGTTATTGTGTTATAATCAATCACATTGGAGAACAGATCACGGAATCTAAGTAGAAAAGTACAAACCAATTAGCATGACTACATATTCTGCATCTCATTACTCACCTGATTGGTTTTTTTCTTCTCAACACAATAATTTTCTAAAAATAAATCCAGTGTTCACACATCAATCAGATAGATTGCTTGATATAATTGATGAAAAAGGCAAACCTAGTAGGAGAGTGAATTCTCCCCTTGTATTAAAGATAAAAGCAGTGAGACAGACAGTTATTCAGTCCATCTGTCTTTCCAACAAGCAGTCAGCAGTCCTAAACCTTATGGTTAGGCAGTTGGTTAATCAATCAGTCAGTCACTTGGCCAGTCAGTCCCTCAGATAGTCAACATTATCCCTGTGATCATTTCTACAGAGCACTGTTGATGAAGCATCATTTGATGTGTTCTGATTCAGTTGGATTAACAATTTTTGTTTTGTTGTGTTTCAGGTGATGGTCCAAATCTTAGGAATTTTGTTTTGGGCCATGGTGCTTTAAGACCTCTACTGGAATTAATCAAACCAAACCAAAATGTAAGGCAATGCTTTGATCCTTTAACATTCACCCTACACGTAATTATTGAACCTTAGTGTGATTTCTATGAAATGTGTCATTTTTTTTGAACAGTGCAGACTCTAACATACATGTAGTGTGAAGCTGAGACTTCACACTTTTTACTGTAAGCTTATTTGTAATTGTTGTATGTGATTAATTTTATTTTTTTTCTGATCTATGCTTTACAGCTTCCATTTCTTCGTAATGTAACATGGACACTGTCAAATCTGTGCCGAAATAAGAACCCACCTCCTGAGATAGCAGCAGTTATTGAGGTGAGGAAAACTGAACTGAATAAGAGGCATAAGAATCCTTAATAAATTGGCAAAAGTTTTGAAAATAGTATTTACTGCTATTTTTCCTTGGGTGGATATTCAGACTAAGAATATATTGGGGGTTTGATCATGAATTAGCTGTCAATGAGTTAATCCCTGTTTGGATAAGTCTCTGGCTACTACTTACTCAGAACTTGGATGACTTGAGTCTCAAACATGGAGAATATTTGTCCTGTATAACAAACTTAATTATAGCTAAAATTATTCATAAGCATGGGTTATATGTTAACACTTGAGCTTCACTGAAAAACTGAATGCTTCAAAATTTGACTTAATTTTCCTTGTAGTTTTTTTTTCAATATCTATTATTTACCAGCCCATACTCCTATTAAAGCTGCTTCAATTGATTACCCAGTTTCCTAATAGCTGAATTATTTTTATTTCAGATCCTTCCAGCCTTGGTACTGTTGATCAATCATACAGACAAAGAGGTAAAACTTAGTCTATCCTGAAGTTCATTCATATGAACTGAAAGCCACCATCATTTTGGGAACTTAAAAAATATCATCAATGGTAATTTTTGCATTTACATGTGAAGTTTTTACTTTTCACCTCACAAAAAATAAAATTCTTTGTGTATGAATGTTGGCATTCTTTCTCATGTTACCTATACTACTTATTAATTCTTTTTTTGTTGTCGTCTAATTTAATTAAAATTTTCTCTTTTTTTTTTCAGATTCTCTCTGACACTTGTTGGGGTTTGTCATACTTGACTGATGGAACAAATGATAGAATACAAGTAAGCAACATGTGTTTTAGGCTTAGTTACCCAGCCCTGGGCCTGTTTTGGGAAATGAGAGCACTCTCTTCCCTTTCTCCTCCACAGGAGGATAGAAGACCACATTAGAGAAAAAGGTGGAAAACAACTTTACATGTTCTTATATACTTCTTGTATGTGGTTTGATAAACTCGTGTGAAATCTCCATATCTTCAGCAACTTTTGAAAGATCTGACTAAAGGAGCTTTACTTGTAGAAGAATGTGGACATGTGTGCTCATGATTAAGATAGGGATTGATACTCAAGAACTAGCTTTAAAAGAAGGAAAAAGAACAATCTTTGATCCTGATCTGGTAACAGACCAGTGGATCCAGAAGACAGTGAACTTGGTCTATCATTTTCCTACTACAGCTTGGTTGACTGGTTAAGTGTTAAGGCCATGAGTCTTGCTCAGTCTTGTACCTAACTGCTGACCATACATATTTACCTTTATATGTTGTGCCTTTGAAAAGAAAGGCTGTAAACCAAAAACATAGTCCTTAGTACCATGTATCTTTAACCATTGATCAAGTTACTGTTTGTTTTCATGCATTAGCTTGTAATTGATTCTGGAATTCTTCTGTCCTTGATCAATTTGTTGGGCCACACTGAAGTAACTGTTGTGGTAAGTTTTTTTCCCATAAAAATAATGGAGTACCATACTATATCATTTTACATTTTTGTCAGTTTTTCAAGGAGCCTGTACTTATAAATATAGTGTCCACCGGTTCTCCCCCTAAACCTTTCCAGAAAGAATAATCATTGTCATGTTGTCACTCACTGGTATTGCTGTAACAAATACAAGTATTCATGTAACAACTTGCTGTTCTTTCTAGACACCAGCCCTGAGAGCTGTTGGTAATATAGTGACAGGATCTGATATTCAGACACAAGTAAGTCATTGTCCACCAAAATTATGGTTCACATTTTTCCTTGGTTTGAACATAAAGGTTGCATGGTTTCCTTCTGTCTCAGAATGATTACCATAAGCAGAGAGGAAGAGGAACACAAATTGGTTTAAAAAATCTGACCAAAGTAAAAGTTAAACCACAATATAAACTGGACATGATTTGATGCTTTTATAGATTTAAGTAATGGTAATTGAATTGAGTGGAGTGCAGTTTGGGCTGAAGTTGTACACATGATTTGAAATCACAAGTATGATTTCAGACCAAAATTGCACAACACAAGGTTCAA